GTCCTAAAGGGCCATCATGCAGAAGAGGAGGCGTCCTTCGCTGGCATGGTCCTGTGGTTCCATGGCCCCCAAGGGAGTGCCAGGCTGCACCCAGGGTCTGCAGGGAAGTGGAAGACGCCTGTGGTCAAGATTCAGACGGGGCTTGGGCATTGTTCCCTTTCAGCCCCGGAGCTGGGCCTGATGCAGATTGATGCCTCACCCTAGCCAACAGTCAGCCGACAGTTTCCATGCTAGGATGCGGATTCCGGACATGGGCTTGCACAGGTTCTCAGAGTTGGCATGATGGGGTTTCCCTTGGTGCCAGTCTCCAGGAAGACAGTCTGGCACCACCGACAGGTTGGGCTTTCAGCTCCAGGAGCCTTTCTATTGAGCACGTCCTGGTGTATCTGCCCCTTCTGAGCTCTATCCCTGCAGTGTGGGCTGGCACCATCTTGTGTCAGGACAGATGACACCAAGGCTTAGAGAGATAAAGTGGCTTACTTCCTGCCCAGGACCAGCTAGTGCACGGCTTGGGCCCTCCTGGCTGCAGAGCAGCAACAGCTCAGCGCTGGATGGGCAGACCAGGTCCCAGGTGTCCTGCATTGGAAACCTTGCCTTAGGGTGCACCCACCTCCCTCCACAGGTGCCAGGGACCCAGGGCAGTTTGGGCTCCAGCACCTGGTGCCTTGGGATGTGATGCAGCTTCAGAATCTGAACACCTTTCACTGGAAGGAAGGCTAATAATATCTGAGACCCCTCACCACTCCCAGGCCCCTTATCCAGTTTTGGCTCCTGGAAGGAAGGTGTTGGAACCCATAGAAAGTGCCTGCTAGTCTCAACACTACCTGATGAATAGCTGGCTGCACCCCACTATCCAAAGCTGGGGTGCCCAGCATGTTAGAGGGAGGGGGCAGAGGTGACCAGGTCTGCCTTTGGATCCTGGGATAATGCTATGCCAGGCCTTGCGCCGCCAGCAGTGTTGTGTGGGTCATCCCTTTTCCTCCTCACAATAGCTGATGATGTAGCTTGTAGCCCCCATCTTAAAGAGCTAGGAAGCTGCAGTGCTGAGAATTCCTGCTCAAGGTCGTGTGACCAGAAGTTGGTAAGTCAAGCTTAGCCCCGGAGGACTCCTAAATCCTGGTTCTTCCTCTCCAACTCCCTCCCCCTTGCCATCGCTGTTTCTGTGTTCCAGACATCTAGGGGTTCTGGGTGCACAGTTCCAGGCTCTCAGACACACTGTGCTCATTGCGGGTAACGCCAGTACATGAGCCGGTCTCACCATGCTTGGTGACCACGGAAATGTGAGAGCCCTGAGCCTAAGGGATGCATCTGGGTGAAGACCACCGGAGTTCATGCGGAAGAGCCTGCCCTTTTCTAAGACCTGCAAAGTCCTGCTCGCTGTGGCCTAGATTCTTGCCTTTGTTCTGCTACCTTGAACTTGCCAGTTCATCCTGCTTTGGGTCTTCCCCCATGCTCTTCGCTCTGTCCCCACCCTATCCCCATCCCCCCTCTTCAGACCAAGCCCTAGCGTTGGCAGTAACGCTTCAGCAGAAAGACCTTTCACAAGCCAGACAAAATGGGACAGTGCTTATCATAACCGATTCAGTGTGTCTGACTCCTCAGCTCCATGAGGCTCAGCTCGGTCCATCCTGTGCACCACCATCTCCCAGCACATGCTAGTTGGTCAGGAAGTATTTGGGTGGTGAATAATGGGAATGGGATCCCAGGAGCCGGAAGACAGGAGAAGGTGTTGGAAAGGTGAAAGTGACATTCCCAGCCCCCATCTATTCCAGAGCCCTCCCCAAGCCACCAGCCCCTGACTCTGCTTAACCCTTCCTCCTCCCCTGGGCGCCTTTGGAAGCAGACCATCTGGCTTAGAGCCTATTTGCATATTGTCTGGGCCTCCACAAGCCTAGCGAGATGTCCCAGGGGGTGTTTCAGGCCAGGCCGAGTGGTCCTTGCAGCCTGCAAAGGGAGCCCTGGGTTCCATCTCTCCCCACCCCCAAATCCAGCCATGGGGGAACAATATGGGTGGTGATGTGGTAGCATCACCATGGTTACAGGCCATCAAAAATGTGGGCAGGCCTGGGATGAAGGCGGGCAGAAGAGGGCGGGAGTGACCTCAGCAAATAAGAGCATCATGATAAATGAGCCAGCACCAGGCAGCAGACTCATCCCCCAGCCCGTCCCCTGGGATTCTGTGACAGTGCCATCACGTGGATGACCCCAGTGTGACCACTGGCCCTCCCCCCCAGCCCCAGGCCTGTCCAGAGTGGAGCAGGACTTTCCTTCACGAAGGAGCCAAGTCCTGGTTCTATATGGGCCAGCCAGGGCTGTGGAGATGCGCCCAGTGGTCCTCAGAACAGCCATGGCCCAGGCCCTCTTGTTGCCTCCCCGCATGTAGGCACAGCCGCCTGCCAAGGCTCGCTGATGGATGTGTCAGACCCCGGCAGCTCTATCGAGCGGCCACAAGATGTATGGGCTGGCGGCCTACCAGACAGTACCAAGATGGAGGCCAAAGGGATAGTGGGGGGCTGGGGGGTACTCAGAAAGCTAGGCATTGGGAAGCAGTCCAGCAGCACCAAGAGTCCTGTGGCTAGATGGAGTCAGCCTCTCCCTGTCCTCTGCCCTCCCCAGTACCTTCTTTGTTTCAAAAAAAGGAATTAAGGTTAAAAGGCTGCCATCCAGGCCGTAGACTCTGCCTGAGGCCTGTAGTCTGCTAGCATATAGCCTTGGGACATTGACCCAGAACAAAGTGGACCGGTCCACTCAAAGCATAACCCTCCTGCCATCTGGGAGGGGAGTCTGCAAGCCAGTCCTCAGAGCCTGCCCAAGGCCAGAGCTGGGGGTGTGGAACCCAGACTGGGGCAGAGTCAGCTTTTCCCCTCTCTTGCCTACCCAGCAGCACCCTGGACTCCAGGGAGGACAGCCATATGTATCCTGAGACACCAACCCCCCTCTGGCTTCACTGAGAGCAGTTCCTACTCCAGGACCCTCACGTTTCCCTCGCCCTGAGGAGACGAGTTCCCAGCAGCCTCCAGAGCATGCTCTGTTTAAGGAGTGGATAGTGAAGTGCAACAGGCTAGAGGGAGCTGGAAAGGAGGTTCCCAGTGTGCTGCAGCCTGGTGCCCCTGCTCCCGGGATGGGAGAGGAGACCCTGGGGATAGGTGGCACTGAGCCTCCACTGGCCCCAGAGCCCCTGGGAGGCAGCGTTCTTGTTGAGCTGAGCGAGGAAGGTTGGTACAACCCTGACCCAGTTGGCCGCCCCCGACCAGGCTGCTGTGGAACAGCAGCAATTTGTCAGCATCCCTGGCTGGGGAAGGAGCCTTCTCTCCCTCTGCCAGAGGAAATTAACTGATGCTATCAGCTCAGCGATTGTTTTTTCTCCCTTCACAAAGGGAAATATATGCAGACCCCCATGAGAGCAAAGCCCATCCTTGCCCATCTGGGACTGGCTGGAGAGATAAAGATGGACGGGCCTCTGCAGGGCCTTTTCAAAGCCTGGCCAGGGCAGGGCCAAGCCAGCTGCTGGGACTGGGGGGCCGAGGGTCTGTCCCCTAACTCTAGATGTGGCAGGGTCCCCCTCTCGTGCATTGTCTGCCCTAGGGACCCTGCCACAGGTAAATGCTGGTCAGTGTTTGCTTTAGGCTTTGAGCAGTGCCGGGGCTTGTTCCAGAGCCCTCCCTGGCAAGTCACTGGCCTCTCCTAATTTTTTTCTTCCCTTTAAGAATCCAGAGGTTCGGGCCCGGCGCGGTAGTGCGAGTGGTTAAGGTCCTCGCCTTGCACGCCCGGGATCCCATATGGGCGCCGGTTCTAGTCCCAGGAAGCCCCGCTTCCCATCCAGCTCCCTGCCTGTGGCCCGGGAAAGCAGTTGAGGACAGCCCAAAGCTTTGGGACCCTGCACCCACGTGGGAGACCCAGAAGAGGCTCCTGGCTTCGGATCGGCATAGCATCGGCCGTTGTGCTCACTTAGGGAGTGAATCATCGGACGGAAGATCTTACTCTCTGTCCTCTCTGTATATCCACCTTTCCAATAAAAAAATAATAAAAATGAATCTTAAAAAAAAAAAGAATCCAGAGGTTCAAAGACCATTGCAACCTGTTTTATTATTATTTTTTTAAGATTTATTTATTTGTATTGCAAAGTCAGATATACCAAGAGAGGAGGAGAGACAGAGAGGAAGATCATCCATCCGATAACTCATTCCCCAAGTGAGCACAACGGCCAGTGCTGTGCCGATCCGAAGCCAGGTGCCAGGAACTTCCTCCAGGTCTCCCACACGGCGCAGGGTCCCAAAGCTTTGGGCCGTCCTTGACTGCTTTCCCAGGCCACAAGCAGAGAGCTGGATGGGAAGTGGAGCTGCCGGGATTAGAACCGGCGCCCATATGGGATCCTGGTGTGTTCACAGTGAGGACTTTAGCTACTTTAGCTACTAGACCAGGCCCTAATTATTTTTAATGGAAAGACAGATTTGCAGAAAGAGCTTCCATCCGCTGGTTTACTCCCCAAGTGGCCTTAACAGCCAGAGCTGAGCCAATCTGAAGCCAGGAGCAGGAACTTCTTCTGGGTTAAGGGCCCCAGGGCTTTGAGCCATCCTCTACTGCTTTCCTGAGCCAGGAGCCAGGAACTTCCTCCCAGTCTCCCACACAGTTGCAGGGTCCCAAAGCATTGGGCCGTCCTCGACTGCTCTCCCAGGCCACAAGCAGGGAGCTGGATGGTAAAGGGAGCAGCCGGAACATGAACCAGCACCCATATGGGATCCCAGTGTATGCAAGGCAAGGATTTAGCTACTGAGTCATTGTGCCAGGCCTGACTTCCAAATAAATAAGTCATTAAAAAAGAGGAACCCCACATGAGTGTCAGGTGCTTGAGCCATCACCACCGTCTCCCAGAGTGTGTAGTGCCAGGAATCCAAAACTGGGAGCTGCAGCCTAGACTCAAACCCAGGCACTCTGCTGTGGGATATCAGGGTCTTACCTGCTGGGTAAGATGCCTCGCCCTCCCCACCACCCCCATTCAGGTGTAACAACAGTGTGTCCTGCGCCTTCCTCTGCAGGGGACATCCGGAACCTCCTGGTCTGGATCAAGAAGAACTTACTGAAAGAGCGGCCAGAGTTGTTCATCCAGGGAGACAGCGTGTGAGTGCCTTCCCTTCTCTGGAGACGAGGATCCCTCAGCCCTGTCCTGGCTTCCGTCTTGGCCCTCTCTGTGCTCCTCTATGTCCTCCCAGGTCCTCAGAGGGCAGAACTGTTGTCCGGCCCTCTGAGGGCTCCTTTTCCAGTTTCCCTGTTACTGCACTCACTGGACTGCTGGCACTGGTCAGGAAGTGCAGATGGCACCTTCTGGTTGCCACAGACTTTGCTCCTCTGGGTCCTACTAACTCTTTCCGTATAGAAAGTACTCAGAAAAAGATGCCTTCCACCACCCCTGTGGTCTCTCAGCTATCTGGGATGCCGCTGTCCCTCAGAACGTGCCAAGATGGTGGAAATGGTCTTTATCTGTACTGTCCAAAGTTGGAGCTACTAGCCACGTGAGAGGCTTTTGAGCCCTTAGATTGTAGCTAGTGAGGCTAAGGAACTAAACAGTCTGTTTTCGTTGTAGTTTAAGTATCCTCATGTAATCGGCAGGTCCTGCATGGGACAGCACAAGTCTGAACTCCAGGAGCTCATTAACTGCATGTATACGTACATAGATGTCACATGCATGCTGATTACATCTGAGAGCCTGCTAGCAAAGGGCCAGGCAGGCACCCCACTTGGGGCCCAAAGCAAGCCCCTATGTCAGACATGGCAGCGCCACGGTGACCTTGAAGCCCGATCGCCACCAGGCCCAGGGGCCAGGTCACTCAGCTGCGGTTACGGAGCTGCTGCCGAGAGTCACGACCAGGAGGAGGCCGTCTGTACTGGCCTCTCATCGGGCAGGCTGGCTCCTGAGCGTTGTAACCCGTGATGCCATTGGTGCCCCTCCTGACCCTGAAAAGCCAAAATACCTCCTCTCCAGCATGGGCACGGGGCAGGTCTAGGAACCCCAGGGCTCTTCCTTTCCAGGGCTTGGGAGGGTCCCGCCCCATCTCCCCAGTGCGCTCAGGGCCAGCTACCATAGCTTAGTGTCTTCTCAGATAAATGATGCTCTGGAGGGTGGTGCTAGCATTTGTGCCCACTTCCTATGACAGTTTATCTGTTTATTTATTTGAAAGGCAGACAGACATCTTGTATCTTGGTTTACTCCCCAAGTGTGCCCGAGAGTTGAGATTAGGCCAGGCCAAAGCCAGGAACCAGTCCTCCATGTGGGTGGCAGGGATCAAAACACTTGAACCCTCATCCCAGAGAGGGCTTTAGCAAGAAGTTGGATTTGGAAGTGGAGCTGAAACTTGAGCCCAGGCACTGTGCTTTGGCATAGGGGTACTTCAAGCACCACCCTGCCACATGCTCACCCTGTCCTGAGTGACCTATCACCAGAACCCTACCACCGTTGCCTGCTGCCCAGACCCCATGCTCCCTGCTCACTGCCTACCACTCAACGCCATCTCCCCTGTAGGCGACCGGGAATCCTGGTGCTGATTAACGATGCCGACTGGGAGCTGCTGGTCAGTATGTTGGGGAGACCTCTTCCCCCCACCCCAGGCCCAGAAAGGATGTCTGGGTAATCCCATGGCTCACTCTGGCCCCCCAAAATGAAGCTACTCGAGTCTTGTACCCCAAGTGAGAAGGGAATCCATAGCTCCTCCACACTGGGGATTGGCATATGGGTGGGGTCGGGGAGGAGCGACCTGTGAGTGGGGGAGCATCTTTCTGGGATCAGCAGTGTCTGAGGAGAAGCTGGAAACATGTCCTCATGGCCTCATGCCCCTCTCTCCTGACCCAGGGCGAGCTGGACTACCAGCTGCAGGACCAGGACAGCGTCCTCTTCATCTCTACACTGCATGGCGGCTGAGCACCAGTTTCTGAGCCCTGGCACCCTTGGCAGAGGAGCGAGGTGGGAGCAGGCAGACGTCCCTGTGGGCCCTGCTTCCACTTCTCCCCAGCTCCCTGGGCTGCCGCCCCTGCTCTCTCCCCTGAGCTCCCTCCAGGCAGGAAAAAGAGGCCAGGTGCTAAAAATGGGCCTTTTGCAGGCACATCAGCCAGAGAAGGCAGGCAGGCACTGGGCCAGCCGCTGGGGTGGGGGAAGTGTCCCTGTGTCATGTCAGAAGTGTAAGGGCCCCATGGCCAGGTGACCCAGATGCCTCCCCAACTCCCAGGCTCTGTCTGCACACCAAGGAACGCCCACACAGCACTATGGCTCCTGGGCCAGGGAAGATGAACAGGCCTGGGTGGCTGATGGGAGGCCCCTCCCTTCTCAAAAAGGGGAGGAGCCTTCTTCACCTCAGTTTCCTCATCTGGACAACCAAGGACTCTGCCTGTCCCCCACTGACATCATTATGGAACCCCAGCTGGGGTCCCCTATTCAGTGCTTACCCCACCCAGCCAGCAGCTGCTGTCCTAGTCATACCCCTCCTCCTGTCCCTCCCACCCCCAGCCCTTGACCCTGGCTGGCCTCTCCACCACACACAGGCCACCAGATGGGCTCCTGAGAGCCTCCCCAGGCCCCCTACAGCTCCTTCTGCTGCAGATTGAAAGGGGGAGGGGCCCTAACCTTGGCCTGGCTGGAGGGGGGAAGAGTTCATTGTACCTCAGCTTCCCCGCGCCAGCAGCTGATACTTAGAGCATCAGAAACCAGGAGCTACTTGATGGCACTATGTGGACTGGATCTTCCCTGTCACATGTCCCACAGAGAGCGGGCCTCCGCAAGCAGCACCTGGTAGGCGGAGTGCTTTGCCCCTCCTCCCTCCATCCCTTCTGGAAGTCTTGGGGCCTCAGTGCCTTCAAACAGCTGGCCTTGGCAAATAAAGGACCAAGTTGTTTACTACTAGCCTTGCTTGGGGCGTCATCCTTGGGACTCTGCCACACCCATCACCCTCTGTCCTAGTCTGTGTGCCCAAAGCTCTCCCAGCTTCCCTTCACCCACCCGGGATGGGTCTGTAAGGGGATGGGATGTAAGACAGTCTGGAAAGGCTGCCCAAGGGAGGAGGGTGTAATCCTGGGCCTGTTGACCCACCTGGGTCCCAGGATCTGTACCCACCCAACTGTGCAAGAACAGACTTTGTCCCCCACCAGCTGCAGCCATAGCTGTACAACCCAGGATGGGGTTGGCATAGAGGATCCTGCCAAGCTCTTCTTTCTGCCCTGTGACCTAGAGGAAAGTGGTCTGTTTGCCAGTTGGAGACCTCAGAAAAAAATTGGGATGCTAACATCCTCCCATCCCAGGTACTGCCCTTCACCAAGAGGCTCACCGTGGAGGAGGAAGGCTGGGTGGGGGCTGGGGTGAGGGGAGCATGCCATTCTGAGCTTTTCTCCAGCCCTAGCATGCAGGTGCCCTCTGGGCATGTGTGTGAGTGGGGGCAGCATTGGGAGGGTTGCGGGAGGGACTGGTCTAGGTGCAGCCTAAGGCCAGCCCCAGCTTCCATTGCTGTCTAGACAGGCTGTGTGACCAACCCTAGGTGCTGCCTGACCCACGTTAGGAAGCAGGACAAGGGACTTGACCCCTGCAGGCTCCCTTCCAAGAGGGTGGCCTGTCTCTTTGGCCTCCAGTCCCCTGAGCTGTGGGAGCTGCACATCATCCCAGCCAGGGTCCCAGCTCCTGAAGCCTGGGTATAAGGGCCCCTTGTCCTGCCTGCAAGGATCAGGGTGACGGGTGATGGGTACAGGGCATCCCTTCTCCTGCTGCACCCCAGCCAATTCTGGGGCATGGAGCAGGAACACACGGCGGGAAAACCCTGCCCTCCCCGGAGTGGAGATGAGAGCTCTGCCGTTGAAATCGGTCAGAGCCAAGGCACTCTGGGATATTTGGGGTCATTTTTAGCACCAAGCCAGAGAAGTCAGCCCCAGCAACTCCCAGCCATACCCCTCCCAAGCAACTCCTGAGCCTTACTGTGGAAGAAATAAATCAATAAATAAACCCCACCATGTCCGATGATTTGTCTTTAATGAAAAGGATTCGTTTGTCCAAGTTGTATTCCCAAAGCCGAGACACGGCAGACGCGCACCATTCACAAGCTCTTCCGACTGTGACTCCTCTGGCAGTGGTTGGAGGGAGGGGAGGCGCAGCCCACGCGTGGGTCCGGAGGGGCTTGCAGGAGGGGTCAGTGGTTTGCTCGGAATTTAGAGGTTGATTCAGATTGTTTTGTGGGGAGGGTGAGTATAGGGGGGAGCGGATTAAAACAAATTCAAAACGAGTTGGAGAGCGGCATCCGGTCTGCCGACATCTTTCACCCCGGATTTCTGAAGGCAGGCTCCCTGGCCACATTTGGGCTTGTTCCGGCCACAGATTTGAATGGAGAAAACCCCCGATGCGATCGATCCAACCAGACCGGAGGACCCCGCCAGCCAAAACCAGTCACCCGCAGAGGAGAAGGAAAGAGGATGGCAGCGCAGGTGCGCCGGCTTGTCCACGGCCGTGCTCCTCACGCTGTGGCCCAGCAGCCGCTGCCCCGAGGGGTCTCACCCGTGCTGAGCTCGGTGGCCGCAGCCCCCGACCCTGCTGTGTGCGCCCAGAGCTCAGCCACAGATGTCCAGCCACAATTCTCGGTTGGCCGCAGACTCGTACAAGAATTGCGTTTGGACAATCAGTGGCGAAACCCTTAAGTTGAGGGCCCCTGTCTCCTGCGGGGTTCCTCTTGGCTCCTTAGAAGCGCCTGGACCAGGTCTCCGGAGCTGCGCGTCGTAATAGCTCGCAGATGCTCAGCGGTCGCGGCCCATCCCTCGCGGTAAGGTAGACGAGCAGGCACGCGGATCCCGACCCTGCACGGAGTCCCCATCGCCCTCGGCCGGCCGTGTTTGCTTGTACCGTGCGGCCCGGGGTCCCCAGAGTAGTTCCTGTTGGGTCTCTGCGCCGCCCCGGGTCGGGGAAACCCCGACACCCCTCTCCCCGATCCCCCCCCTCCAGCCAGGGCTTGCCGGGAATCCGGAATGCAGGGACCCCGAGGCCGGGTCGCGATTCTGAGCCCAGGGTCGGGCTGCAGGACTCTTGTCCCTCCCGACCCCCCGCGCACCGCCCAGCCCCGCGCACGCACCAGCTCGGGCGCTCTCTGCCTCCCTGTCGCGGAGTCGCGGCCGGGGCGACGGCGGCGGCGGCGGGCAGCGCTGGAATGCGCCGCCGGGTCACCTGCAGCGCCCGGGGAGCCGGGCTGGGAGCCGGCGGGCTGGCGAGGCGCAGGGCTGCACCCGAGCGGGCGCCTCTGGCGGCTCCGGGCCGGGGCGGGCTTTTAGTGGGCCGCTCCAACAATACGGGCCTGGCGGGGAGAAAGGGGCTCGGCTGCAATTGGTACTGGATTTGAATAACGCCACGGGGCCATCAATGGTCATTGTGTCGGCGGGTAATGAATCTCCGCTGTCTCTCAGGCTGGCCAGGCAGCTGCAACCTGCACTCAGGCGGCTCTTAAAGACATAGCGTGCCCCTCCCCGGGGGCCGCCTCCCCCACTCCCCTCGCACTGTCAGACCCCTCAGCCTCACACTCCCACCCAGCACCCTTGGCGCCCCACCCGTTCCTTGGATCTGACACTTTTGCCCAGGGTCCCCGTCTTCCTGAGCCAGGCACCCATATCTATACCCTGCACTCTCCCTTGGACCAAGCTCAGGCCCCTGGCCTTAGCTGAGCTCTCCGGGAGAACCAGGGTGTCCCCAGAGACTCTGGCCCCAGCCAACCACTCTGGAACCTTTTGCCTTAAGCTAGGGAGGAGGGCAGTCTGGAGGTCAGAGGGTCACTCCTTCAGAGGTATTACTGAAGGATAAGGAAGGAGGGATGCCATCTCCAGAGACCAACCCCCCCACACACACACACTGGGGACCAGGGCTCCCGCCTCCATCCCGGCTTCTTGCAGGATAGTGGGATTCTGTGCCCGAAGGGGAGCAGGTGGGGGCGAGAGGCATGGAATCTGTGCTCCTCTCCTCATTGTCTCCTCTGCGGGGCAGCCCGCCCCCCTGCTCCCACCTAGCCCCCATCTGGCATGGACACAAATGGGCTTCTCAACCTCCTGGATGAATGTCTACTCAGTTTCTCACACTCCCAGCTCAGCTTTTCTCGGAGTGCATGGCACCCTAAAGGGAGAATGTGTGACCACCCTGTCCATACATCACCCTCAGGAGCCCAACGCACGCCCCCAACACCCTGCTCAGGGAGGCTCCTGTCACCCTGGCCAGTGGTCTTGCCTCTTGCCAGCTGAGCTGGGGGACCCAGGAATTGGGTCCCACTAGGACCTGGGGCACTGCTCTCTCCCAGCCAATCAGCAGCCTTCTGGGTGTTTCCGTGCATACACTTCCCTCACTCTAAACCATACAGACTTGCTGGCGTTTCTTTTCAAAGTTGATGGATTGTGGCTTCTGGGAAATAGTAGTATTTGGAGCCCAGGGGTTTGCTTTTTTCTTTTTTTTTTTATTCATTTTTATTTGAAAGGTAGATTTACAGAAAGAGGAAGAGCTTCCATCCACTGGTTCTTTCCCCAAAAAGTTACTATAATAGCCTGAGTTGGACCGTTCCAAAACCAGGTGCCTGGAGCTTCTGGGTCTCTCATGAGGGCAACAGGGCCTCAAGGACTTGATTTATCTTTGGCTGCTTTCCCAGGCACATTAGCGAGGAGCTGGATTGGAAGCGGAGCACTCAGGAATCAAACTGGTGTCCAGATATGATGCCGGCATTGCAGGCAAAGGCTTATCCTATTAGGCCATGGTGCCGGCCCCCAAATCCAAGTTTTCTAGAGCAGAGAGCCCTAGTGGACAGATGCGAGCTCCTGGGGCTGCTGCACAGATAACAGCGACAAGTAACACGTTACCCATCAAGCACTCGGCACTGTAAGGGTGCTGGACCTTGACCAGGAAGCAGTCCCTTTGACCAATAAAGCAGTTGCAACTGCTGGCAGTTCAGCGAGTCCACGTGCCCCCTTCACCCAGATCTCCATTCCCCCCACCCCGCCCAGGGCAGGTGGCAAGCAGGTGTCTGGTCCAGGGTCGCAACTGAGGGCTGCTGAAGGATTGCTACTCACTGTAGTTCTCTGGGTTTGCTTGGAGAGAGAAAGTGACAAGAGCCAGGAGGTGTGGCAGCCTCGACTGAGCCAGTGGGAACAGATCTAGGACATAGTGGAGTCAGCCAGGCCAAGCCACGTTCCAGAAAGAGGGTTCTTTGGACCCCAGGCAGGCTGCGCCCAGGCTGGGTGAACCCCGATCATTCCAGGGACCCTACACATGACAAGCAGGAAGTTGCTCAGCTGAAGCCATAGGACGGTATTCATGGAATGCCCCCTGTGTGCAGTCGGGGAGGAGTGGAGATGGGAGCTGGCCCGGGCGGAGGGAACAAGCGGCACGCTCCCAAGCCAGCAAGCAAGAAAAGAACTGGCCAGCAGAGGGGAAGGAATTCAGCTTTGGCTGGGAGTTCAGAGAGGAAGAGGAAGAGCTGGCTTGGGAGGACTCGGACTTTTAACCTAATCGCTTCGGGGTTCCTGGAAAGTCTTGATAGTTTCTATTTACACTTTAAAAGGTTGGCCTGGGAACTGCTGTGTGGGGAAGGGAACAGGGCAAGCAGGTGAGAGCTGCTTGTGGCAGGTCCCGGTGTGGAACTGTTTTTTGTTTTTTGTTTTTTTTCACATTGATTTATTTAGGAAGCGGGGCCGCCGGGATTAGAACCAGCGACCATATGGGATCCTGACACTTAGCAAAGAGAGGACATTAGTCGCTAGGCCAACGCGCCAGGCCCGGAACTGTTGTTCTTGATAATCTAGATGACCTGTAGCCCAGGCATCTCCAAAGAAGGTAGCGTCTGCCTCAGCCTCCAGAAGGCTGAGCCTCGGTTATCCCGACTGTGAAACGGGGCTCCTCCGTTAGAGACGCGGCGCGCTTGCGCTCCGTGAGGATTTACCTTCTGCGACCGCTGCATGCGCGTGCGCGCACACACCCACGCGGCTGTGCGCGTACAGGTGGAGGGCAGGTGTGGGTAGTCTAAGACGCCTGTCCCCGCCCGCATGAAGGACCCGCTCAATTAGCAGGTGTTGGATGAGTGATGAATGAATGGGGCAGCAGACAGATCAGGCTGGGGGACCATTGAGGGAAAGGTGAACTTGAGGGAAGACGCACGGATGGGGCGAATCTGATGAAGGAAATGCTGTGACTGGAGTCAGTAACACCCCACCCCTGCCCCCACCACTCCTTCTTTGAGCTGCGGAGGCAGGTCAGAACCCCAGCACGCAGCAGGCCACCCTCCAAGGGGCAGTTTGGAGCGACAAGCTAGCCAGCCTCCACCTCTGAGTCCCGAAGTCCAATCCTCACGTGTCCCTGGCAGTCAGTACCGTAACTCCTCGTAGCCCATAGCCCGGGAGAGAAGCCCTCGGGGCCGGCTGCATGCCAGCTCTTGCCTACTGTGGATGCTGACCCTGCCATTCTGCCAACCGCAGCGACTTCTCCCCCAGCAGCTGTGCTCCTACCCAATAACTGGCACCATGCCTACCTAGCATTTCCCCTGTTTACAGGTTGGGAGATGGAAGGAGCTTCCTGCAGGCACAGCCCTGCAGACTGCGCTCCATGAGAATTTACCCGCATTAGACTGCATTTTAGACTCAGGCTGGATCCACTACAGGAGCACCCCCAGCCCTTCTGTGCCCATATTACTCAGCGCATGGTGTGCCCATGGTAGAGAAAGGTCTGATTCAATTTCTGGCTTTTTTTTTAATAAAGATTTATTTATTATTATTATTTTTATTGGAAAGGCGGATATACAGAGAGGAGAGAGGAAGATCTTCCGTCCGATGATTCACTCCCCAAGTGAGCACAACGGTGGATGCTATGCCGATCCGAAGCCAGGAACCTCCTCCGGGTCTCCCACACGGGTGCAGGGTCCCAAAGCTTTGGGCCGTCCCCGACTGCTTTCCTGGGCCACAGGCAGGGAGCTGGAAGGGAAGCGGGGCTGCCGGGATTAGAACCGGCACCCATAT